TTGGGCCAAAGCAGCTATACTAGTGAGACTCACTTGAAGTTGTCTTTGTCCTGCAGGTTGAGCACCAGGCTGTCTGCGTTCAGGTACACCTTGTTCTGGGACTGCGCCACCTGCAGGCAGAGCACACGCGTGTGAGCAGAGAACACGCATGTGGAGGCCCAAAGGGAACATCGGCACACGGGCATCGGGGACACGCAAGTCCAATTAGTGGAGAAAGGTCTCAAACACAACTTACCGTCTTGGCGATGTTCTGCGCCGCACGAATCTTCCTCAGCTTCAGGTAGCCGGGGTTCTTCGTCAGGGCCTGACCCAGCTGAGAGACACAGACAGACAGACAGACACACAGACAGACAGACACACAGACAGACAGACACACAGACACACACACTCAGTCAGTGCGTCGTGGTCTAAAAAGGTTCCCTTCTAGTTCAATCTGCTCTATTCAGACGATTTCTGGTCCAATAATCGGAATATTACAACATTTAACGCCTCCTTTTGTACAATACATTCAAAATAGAGTCTGAGTTGCTTTAAACTTTCAAACGTTTTGTTTATCATCTGCTGCCTCTATTATCTCGTATATTCAGCACATTGTGGGAGACATTTCCTGATTGACAGGTGTCGTATGAAGCGCATTTGTATTTTCAGGAGGACGTCTCCGTCCTGGAGAGAACTCACCATCTTTGCAGCCTCAGCTTCTCCCTCCGCCTGGATGATCTTGTGCCGTTGGTCCTGTTTGGCCTTTTCCACGTAAAACTGAGCGCGCTGCGCCTCCTGCTGGGCTGGAGGGGAAACACGATCGATCGATATAATGGATCCAATGCACATCAATGCAAAATGTACAATAATGACCACAGATGTTTAAAGTAGGATACAAGATGTAAAAGATTCTCTGTCAAGGATGTAAAAGTTCTAATACTCAAACTTCACCCACGACGATCGACTTTATAAAAAGTGCAGGAAGCAGAAGTTAAACCCATTTTAAAGTACATCTTCCTCCTTGTGGCTGCGGCCTCTCGCCACTCACCGACTTGCTTGGCCTCCACGGCGGCGGTGTACTCGCGGCTGAAGCTGAGCTCGGTGATGGCCACGTCGTCCAGGATGATGTTGAAGTCCTTCGCCCGCTCAAACAGCTCTCTGCGGATCAGCAGCGACACCTTGGGGGGCACAGGGGGGGCGTCAGACAGTCCTCCACTAAACAACCCATCGCCTCGTTTCCCATCTCACTAAAACGCCTTCTTTCACTTTTAAAATGTAATGAATCGTCAAAACGAGGAAATCTGACGTCGACCAATGAGCTGTTTCCCTTTGAAGATGATGTCATCGGTCAAAAACACATCGCTGTAGATTCTTTGATATTTATTTACATACATTTATTTACACACAACAGCACTTGTGTGTCCTTGTGTGTCTGAAGCACTTGCACACTTCCTGTCATCTCTCCCATCAGTGACAACGTTTACACCCCGTAGCCACACCTACAGGAGCAACGTTGGGTTGAGCGCCTTGCCCAAGGACACGCGGGCGCGCTGCGTTCTGTACCTGCGCTCGCTGCGTGATGAGCTGCGAGGCGTTGAACTTGGCCACGACGCTCTTCAGCACCTCGTTGACGATGGAGGGCAGCACGCGCTCGTCGTAGTCCTTCCCCAGCTGCTGGTAGAGGGCCGGCAGGTTGGAGGCCAGCGGCCGGGACAGAACCCTCAGGGAGATGTTCACCATCTGGAGGTCTGAGGAGATAAAGTCTCAAAGTAAACGGATGGAAATATTCAGACGCTAAAGGTTGCTTAAAGCTGCGTTCTGTGTAGTGACCAGCAGGGGGCGACTCCTCTGGTACCATAGACGTCTATGAGAAAAGGACTACGTCTACACAGCGATTGAGGTCTCTACCAGGGACGTCCTACGCAGTCCATATGCGGTCCCCTGCTTCCTGGGAGTCTGACCTTTGCTTCCAGTGAGGGAGGAGATCTTGCGGGGTCTGGCTCTGATGTCGTAGATGACGGGATACTGAATCCAGGGAATCCTAAAGACAGCGACACGCGTCAGACGCTTGTTAAGGATCGTTAGGAATCCGTCCTCAGCTTCTCTCTTTCTGATTAAAACACGTCTGGCAAACTTTTACAACTTTGTTTTTCACTTGTTTCATTTTTCCTGCAAGATTTTATGCAACACCAATTGAAATTATGTACAAGAAAAAAGATCCAATTATAGATTGTTAGGAAGTGTCTTTCAAAATGCATTGATAAGCACAACATTTCACCTCCTAAACTTAAGGTTTCAAAACCAACAATGACACGTTACTTAATTTCACTGAGACTAATGGTGAGCCGCTGTTCCAGCTTTTATTTTGAAGGGCGGGGGTCAAACAAGACGAGCACTTCCTGTGGTCGGGTTCCTACCTGAAGTGGAGTCCCTCCGAGAGGACGGTGTCCATCTGCATCCCTCCGATCCGGTTGAAGACGACGGCTCTCTGTCCTCCTTCGACTGGAGGACACAAAGACATCTCAGCGTGTGTCCTTGACCTCCGATTCCTCCTCCGCTTTTCTACCTTCAACCCCATAACTTTGTTCCACGACTTTGTTCCCCTCGTTGGTGGAGATCTGCCTCCATGAATCAGAGGCCATCCGGCGTCCTCATAGTCCGCCAATGACGGCTTGTACAAGCGCTCATATTTAAAAGCTCTTCAATCTGATCCGTTCTCTCGTAAACGTTCTTCCTTTTAATAACGGCCGTATTGTGCTGTGAAAACGGAGACGTGAGACTCTAAAGGACGTAGTCAGCGGACCAATCACAGCCTGGTGCTGCAGGACGCCGCGTCGCTTTAGACGCTAGTCTACAAAAATGGGTCGACGAACACAAGGAGGAGTGAAAAGACACGCAAGGGACACACAGGTGACACGCAGGGACTCTTACGTCTGCGTGTCCTTGCGTCTTTCTGGAAACGCAGAAGCATAAACTAGTCTTTAGTGTCCTCGGTCCTCTTTCACTGCGATCGTCAATTTTTACATCAACTGTTCCATCAACTATCCGACTTGTTGGAAAAAGATGGCGCAGAACCTCTGAGTAACTGATAAACAGCTTTTTATTGTTCTGCTGAAATCCAAACTAAGTTATGTTTTCATTTTTATGGAAGTAGCTTTATTTTAAGTGCACTTTGACTGCGTGTACAAAGGAATGCCGATCAAAGGAGAACCCTGACATCCAGCAGGTCACTGCCATGTTGAGTGACGGGTGAACATGTTCACGCATCGTGCTGAACTACCGGTGTACGTTGCCTCCTTCACGCCGTAAGCCAGAGCTCCGGCGCCCATCAGCAGCTTCACGCCGAGTCCCGCACCCCGACTTCCTGCGGCCATCCGGGCTGCGATCTGCCGCAGCTGCTGCAGAAAACCCTGAGGAACAACGATGACGTTTAGGGCCCAGATGCTGACAAACAGACTCCAGCATGAAACAGAGTCCCTCTGCAGGAGAAACCCTCCGCACGCTGCAGCACCAGACTGCGTCCACAAACCCAGTGGTTCTACTAAATGCTGCGGATTTCCACAGTTTGCACATAACGCGTGATCCTCCTTTAACGTGGGGACAGTGAGATTTAATTCGGTTTACAGATTAACCTACAAATCGGAATTATAATGACGCAATAACTCGTTTATCTGTAAGACATCAGCGCATTGAGGTGCAACTCTCTCTCTCGCGGAGGCTGCTCGTGATACCGGAGCAGTGAACTAAGTTACACGTTTGCCGAATTGAAGCAGAGATTCTATAAAGAGACCAAACGAGTTTAAAGCGGTGTTTCATAACGCGATGGGACGTGTGGTAACGTCAGATTCGTGGGATCACGTAATGACTGAACTATTCCTGGTAAAACACAAGTTACGTGTCACACAACCGCCGTTAATACACTTTAAAAATCCGCGCATCTTTAGTATCCGTCTTCATATTTGGCCTGAAGCGGTCTGAAGTTAGCTAACGTTACTTTAACGGAGAGCTAGCTTAGCGCTAACGCTAGCTTACGTCAGGCAAGCCCGACTCACGTGCACGACTGGCTCTTTTAAAGCTGATGTCACGAGCCGGCGTCCAAAGGGCGGGAAACGGCACGACGGCTTGAACCGACATGAAGGAACAAAAGTGACCTGCGCGCGTTTTAAAACGGGGGAAAGAAGCACTTACACCGGGGTCTTTATTCGCCATGCTCGTCCTCTCAGTCTGCTGGGAAAACAGGTGAAGAAGAGTGGCAAGGTCAAGCGTGATGACGCACTTCCGGCGGTACGGTGCAACATGGGAAATGTAGGATTTCGCCTGGGTTGTGTTTGACAGTTATGGAAGTCGATCACTTTCTATTTCAATTCGGGAAATTATCTCTTTGGTTTTTAACATCTGTAAAAACTAATGGAAAATAAAAAAATAAAAAATCACACATTCACTTCCCCCGTGCTTCCTTCCATCATTGATTCCTATACCATAATTCCTATCTCCTTTCCTATTCACTTACTCCTCGATCTTTTCCTAAATAGTTTCCTTTCCTTTTTCTCAATTCCTTATTTCCTTGCCTCTTTCCCACTTTTCCTTTCTCTTACTTTGGTTGCCTTCTCCACCCTTCCTTCCTATACTTACCTCCTATTTTCCTTTTATACTCAGCTTGTTCTCTCTGCGCTACCTTGCTTTTGACTCACCTCTGTCCTATAGTAATTAGAATTGTTTCAAAATCAAGATTACAAAACAGAGTGAATTTATTTACTTTTAACATGACAGGATCATTAGATTTAAAAAAGTAAGTAATTAAAAAGTATTTTTTTAAGATGTCGGATGGAACGTTTATCATTTGACACTTTTAAACTAGTTTATCCAAATAAGAATAATGTGGGGTTCGTTTAATCTAACCTGAAGGAGCGAGCTGAAGGCTCCTGCTCGGCACTAGTGGCCCTCCATACCGCGGGTCGCAGATGCTGCTCGCTGATTGGCTGCCGGCTCAGTTCCTCGAGAGGAAATCACTCCTTTTATGGTTAACGCAGCGCGCGCGGCCGCTTTTCCGGGTTCACGCTCGCGCGGCGTGAAGAAGGAGGCGGGAGACACGCGCACACCGGAGCACCGACGCACACACGCAGGGTATCGATCCGAGGATATCGATCGGCGATCAGTGAAGGTGAGGAGGCGGGAAAGGGGGGGTCTGGCGGCTCGGGGGGGCGCGGGTTCGCTTCGGGTGGATCCCGGTCTCGGATCAGACGTGTCAGGTCCCGCAGACTCAGGAACCAGAGCGAGACTTCAGGCTTCCCCTCGTTACTCCCTCTAATAAGATAACAACAATAACAACAACAACAACAGTAATAACAACAGTAACAACAACAACAATAATAATATCGGTGTTGAGTCTCTGATCAGAGGGTTCGATCCTCTCCCTGAAGGCGTGTGACGTCACACCGTGTCTGTGAATAAACTACAACACCTTACACACCCGAGTACAGCTGCGAGGTACTTGTACTGCAAACTTTAGACATTGTACTTCCAATTACAGAGACGACGCAAAGAAAAGTATTAATACATTGACTCACAGCGGTGGGAAGTATAAGTACATTTTGATGTACTTGTACTTGAGTTGTTTCCATTTCCTGCTGTTTCTCAGAGTAAACATTGTACTTTTTACTGCGTTCTGCATCTCTTTCACTTTACAGATTCTGATTATTAATCAGCTAATAAATGATGATGTATTAATAAGAGATATCAATCAATGATTGTGCTTCGTCAATACATTTGAAAGTATATTAATATGAAGGATAAATATTCCTACACCGATACTTTCACTTTAGTCCTGCGTATAAAAAAATCTCCATCACAAATAAATGATGTAAAGTAAAAGTACAATATCCTCTAATGTTCTTGTGTACTTGTGTACAGTTATCATTATATCAATACTAATTTGGTTATTATATTCATATTTTCGTGTTGTATCATTAAAAAATGATTTAAATTAATCACATTATTTCTATCATTATATTAATAAAGTATATATAAATACATATGTACATATATACTTATATTACTATAGTTTTTCACATTTCTGGCTCCTGGCAGCTTTTCACTTTGTTAAATTGACAAAATCGGAGCTCAGACTTGTGGCTGAGTAGAAAACACGGTACACGCGTGATGAGGTTTGAATCCCTGTAAACGTCACACAGTATTATTTCATTTGTGTTTGAGGACGAGTCAGAAGGCAGTACTGGCCGCTGTGTTTGAGGCCTGAAATACTACTTGTATCTCGACAGTTTAAGCGGTGGAGTATTTCCTCTCTGCGTATTATTCATTCGCTTCACTTTACTTCCTCTGTTTTCAATTTGGGCCAAACTTTCAGACACTTCATCACTTCCTCTTTCCTGAGCTTGTGTCTGAGAAGAACGACTGTTCCGTTTCGAGGGCCGAGGCGGAGCTTCGTTTACATCCTGCTGGCCAGCAGGGTCCGGTCCACGTAGGACGCTTAACAAACTCACAACAGCTGATTGGAGTCGGTCAATCAACTGGACTCGGTTGACTCAGAGTTGAGCGCGTGCAGCATCACAGGATGAAGGCAGCATGAATGGAGCCACGATACCACGAGTTACCATGACAACCACCACAACCAGTAGATTCACCTGCAAATATTAATGCAAGCGAACGAGAACGAACCCGTAATTAGACAGAAAACGCCGCTGCTGCTGCAGAAGACAGAGAAACTGTGTAAGTTCCACTATAGTGTTACGTTAATATTCAGTTAATATTTCCTGCGTCCTGTGGGACTCCTCTTTAACGTCTCACTGGTTTGTGTCCAATAAAAAGGTTTAAAAGACGTTTCTCACGGCTCTGCAAGCAGCAGCTTTACTGATATTATAATGTTGTAAAGGAAAACACGTGATACTACACAAAGAATGTGCTCGTATGTGAGAGCACGTCCACGATGGGGACGTTACTTCTATGAGAACGGCTGAGGTCATGGACATATTTGATGGACTGTGAAGAAAAACGATAGCGTTCAAACAAGTAGTCATCTGGAAACGACTATACATCTGATCGGGTCTCAATATTCTCCTCCGACGTGTTTAACGAAGTGAAAGCGCTTCTTCATCAACAGGATCGTCCAGAAAACACTTTAGTCTTTAACGTACCATCTTATTTTGTTCATATGTGGAAACTTATAAAGAGTGAATGAATGAATGAGCAAAGTAAAGCGCGCTGTGTGATTGGCTGGGCCGCTGTCAGAGGGAGGAGCCTGTGGAAGGAGAAAGAAAACCTGCTCCCGACCAGGTGATGTTCACAGGCTCAGTTACCATGGTGACTGAGTCTGAGCTTTAGTTACCATGGAGACTGAGCCTGAGCTTTAGTTACCATGGTGACTGAGCCTGAGCTTTAGTTACCATGGTGACCGAGCCTGAGCTTTAGTTACCATGGTGACCGAGCCTGAGCTTTAGTTACCATGGTGACTGAGCCTGAGCTTTAGTTACCATGGTGACTGAGCCTGAGCTTTAGTTACCATGGTACCATGGAGTTTCCCTCATCTCAGGGTGAACAAACTCTGAGTTTACACTAAACCCGCTTCTTGAAACGTACTCCAGGTCAAAGGTCAGTCTGTGGTCATCATGACGCTGTCGATTCTACACATCTTAAATAACACAAACAGTTGACTTTGACGTCGCTGCTTTAAACAGTCTTTTTCATGTTCCTCCTCCTCTTCTTCTTCTCCTTTTTTGTCTTCTTCTTTCTGCTCTTCGTCTTCTTCTTCTTTCACCTCTTCTTCGCGGCCTTCAGCTACGTCACGTTCACTTCCTGTTGTCCGTGCTATAAAGACACACAACGCCTCCAAAAACAGCTCTGCAAGGCTCCAAGTAGAGGACACGCCCACTGTATGACACGCCCACTATATGACACGCCCATTGTATGACACGCCCCTCACGTGACATGCCCCTTGTGACAGTGTTCATCTAGTTCAAACTTTGTTTGGTCAAAGAGCAATAGTGAAAAATACTATCAAACTATTAGATGTGGTAAATACATGAATTAAATATTAAATTATTTGCAAATATATATATTTTTACAATATATGAACAAATACATTTGAAAACGATTGGAACTATTTTAACTAATATTTATTTTAGTGCACTGGAAACTAAGTCCACGGGACTGAGGATGCTGTTGTTATGTCTACGTGGACTCATGTGTGTCTCGTGTGTCTCAGCATGGGGAACCTGATCAAGGTGCTGACCAGAGACATCGACAACAACGGGGGGAACTTCTTCCTGGACTTTGAGAGTGAGACACACACACACACACACGCAGACACACACACACGCGCCCGCGCAGCGACCGAGCCGTGTTTGACCTTTGACCCCCCTGTAGACGCCCAGCCCTCGCAGTCGGAGACGGCGGTGTGGGAGGAGGTGAACCAGACGCTGACGGAGGCCCGGCTGGTCCTGGACCACCTGCAGGCCTACAGAGGAGCGGGGGAGGAGATACGACAGGTGCGTACTTGTACTGCAGTGCACGGCGCTTCTTGTACCTCACGCGAGTACTTTTACTATTTAGACGGTTACACGAGTTTAAAAGAATCTGATGTTTGTGTTACACAAGAACACCTGAACCCATCAGTCAATGAATCAATGAATCAATGAAACAATGAATCAATAATTAAATTAATTAGTCGGTGAATCAATGAGACTGTGGTTCGGTTGGTCAACACATCAATGACACTAAACATTCACTGGTTGCATTTAATATTGTTTCCTGTGTGGAAGTACTTTTACATTGTGGTAAAGTATATTAAGGT